GGGGGTGCGCATGGCAGTCGGGTGTCTGAGCCAAGGCTCAGTATTCACTCCTGCGGCCTTGGGACTGACTCTTTGGAGAGAAGACAGTCTCTGATCTACTGAGATTTACCAATCCCTTGGGATGATTACCAAAGCCAGTGGTGTCCCCCCATCTAACCCCGGCAAGCAGAAATACGGACATTCGAAGCGCAGGGCGCGTCTGAAATCATTGCCATCATCCCTGTGCCTCCAAGCAAACGTCCCCATGCCCCAACTAAAGCCGCCGCAGCCGGCGGTGATCCAGGATGCTTAACGGCTCCCCTAAAATCCATAAAGTCCCCTCAGACCCGACTGGCTCCCACACACGACCCTACTGTCGTTTGAGGATGGCGCTTCCTTCCCACGGAGTTCTCTCCTCCTGATCAGGATCTCCATCTTACCTGGGAAATCACCTGGGATCTCGTTACAATGGAGATTCGGACTCAGTAGACCCTGGGGGTGGGGGGTGGGGTGGGGGAGGCAACTTTTTGGCAGGGGGCTGACCAGAATGGAGTGTTTGGAAGCCCTGTGGGAGACCGTGGGCACCTTCCTGGGCTTTGCAGGTCTGGCTGATGGGGGCTTTGCTTTCGCAGGATGTCGGGAGACCTGCAGAGTCAAGTGAGCATCTGTAAGTAGCAGAGCCCCGGATGCCGGGAGGGAGGGGGGAGGGAGCTCGGTGACTGGAGTAGGCAGAAGAGGGCTAAGGAAGGAAGCCAGAGGTCTGGTATTTTGGCTTTGAGAGCTATGAAAGGAGGACCCACAGAAGCAAGCACGGCCGCAGCCCTGGGAAGACCTCCTTTAAACAAAGCGCCACGGTTTCCGTTGGTTTTTACAAACCAACACCCAAACCAAACCCTTGCCACCGAGGCGATGCCAATTCACCACGACCCTGTAGGACAGGGTAGAACCAGACCAGTGAGTTTCAAACCGGAAAGCCCCGGTGGAGCCGGTCTACTCTGCACAGGTAGCCTTGCCACGAGTCAGGCCACAAAGAACGACAGCAGTAAATCAGCAGTGATCTGAACTCTCTGTGGCCGCCGCGGGGTGCCTTCGAGCCCCTTTTTGATTCCTAGTGGCCCAGGGTGACAGAGTGGAACCTTGTCACAGATGTTCTAAGCCAGTGGTTCTCAACCTTCCTCATGCTGCGACCCTTTCATACAGTTCATGTAGTAGTGGCCCCCCC